TTTAAAGGAAACCCTCGAAGACCCGGCAACCCTGGGAGGGACCCCAGGCCTCCTGGCACTCTACGGATTTGTCTAGCTTTCCCGGCCCCCGAGGGGCTCCGGGGAGAGCTGGAAGCTCGAGCGAGGGATCCTAACCCAGCATTCCCAGAGGAGCCGCCTCTCGTCGGGTGGCTTCCTTCCGTCTGGGCCCGGGCTCCTCACGCCCGAGAGGTGTGAGGCGGGAGACCAGGGCCCCGATGCCCGCCCGCGAGAAGACAACGCCCGTCACGACCGCGGGAAAAGGAGATTCTCCGCACCGGGGAGAGGAAAGCCGCGGGCTCGCAATCGCCCCCGTCTCTGAACAAACCGGGAGGAAAACACCCCTTTAGGTGTGCGCTGGGCTCCGTCACGCTTCACTCCAGCCTCTGGGCACGGGTGGAGGCCGCTGTCGCCCCGAGGAAACACCCCCCGCCCCGGGTCGAGGGGCGAGCGGAGCGGCCCACCGGGAGGGGGGGGAGGGGCGTCCAATGCCCCGAAGGGGAAGGTTAGGGGAAATTTTGAATTTTTAAAAAGCGCGGTTTAAAAATGACCCTGCCACGTTTACAAGCCAGTTGTGACGTTCAGCACAACGTGCTACTGAAATACCAAAATCCGCCACCAAATGGCGGCTCCTGCAGTCTGCTGCGCTGATAAAGAGGACTCGCTCGGCGTCGCCCATTTTAGGCCGCTTTCACTTCTCTGCCGTTACCCCGACTACCCTTCGCAGGTTGTTCCTTTCTCTCCCGGTTTTCGGGTAGCCAGTGGGAGGCCCGGGTCAGAGAAGCCTTTATACCCTGGGGGTCCGGCCGGCGCAGTCTCTGTCGGAAACCGGCTGCGTCCCGGCGTCTTTCAGAGGCGACGTGCCAGCCGCGAACCGCCAACCGCTGTCCCCGCCGAGGGCGCGAGGGCGCCAAACCTCCCAGGTTTGCCTGGCCCCGAGACCTATTTAGGCGTCGCCTTTGGGTCTTCAAGGTGTGGTCCTTTGCCCAGATCTTGAGGTTCTTGCCGCGAAGCCACCCCATCCTGGACATCCTGGACACTGTCACCCGGCTAAGACCCAGGGGACTGGAACCATCGGCCTTCCCCGTCACCGCCTTCGAAGCGCGGCCTTCAGGAACCTTCAAGATGGCAGCTTTACGTTTTGTTATTAATTTAGTTTGCAGTCTATCCAGTAAAATCTCAAACTGCAAGGACACCTCGTTGCTGAAGGAGAAAGGGCATAGGGTTTGAAGCGGGAGGAGGAGGAGGGGCAAAGCAAGGACGCGCGTCTGCGAACTTCGCGGGCGACCGCCCGGCCTCCCCGGACGCGGGTCGGGTCCGTCCCGCGCTGAGCTCGAGGCCCGGGGGCGGTCGCCGAGTCCCGCGGCCCGGCAGACCTGCCGATGTCTCGCCCAGTGGGCAAGGCTTCGGCAGGAAGGTGGCCACCTTGTGAGGCCTCGCGCACCCCACTGTCGCCGCCCCTTGCCGCAGGTTCCGACTTTGGAGAAATGACGTCTTTTCGCCGCTTCCCAAGCCGGTGGGGCCTGAGAATCTTGCTTTCAAATTTGGCGGGATCCGAATCCGCCGAACCCAGAGCGGCGCGAGGCGAGCGGCGCACGCGCAAAATGGCCTCCCGGCGCCCCACGGCCTCGGCTCGCTCATAGGGCCTGGCGGAGCCCCCGCGGCGCCGCGGCAACCGAGGTCTGGGCTGTAGCTCTTTACACTCCTCCGAGAGCGGCTAGTTGAAAAATAAGGACTGGGAGAATGGCGGTTTCCTCCTTAACGTGCCCTTTTGGTACAGGCTCCCTGACCGAGAAGACAGCGCGGCCGGGAAAGGGAGCTCATTTTCTCCGGGCGGTCGTCCTGTGCCCTTTCCGCGAGGCACCAGAATATAAGAAGACTTTTCTTTCTCTTTTTTTTTTTAAGCCGCTGCCCATCCCACCCCAGTCATCCTCGCTCCCCGCTTTTTCTTCCAAGCCGCGCAGTGCTCTCCTGTCTTCGGCTTTGTTTGGGTGTCTTCCACTTTTGGGGGCATTTAGACCAAACACTGTAGTTTCTGGACAGATTTCTCAATCTCCAGTAACGTCTTTATCCATCTCGGTAACGTTCCCATTCGCTCCATCTCAATATTCCACGCGCTTCCCGAACATCCTGGTCCGCAGCCTTCCAGAGTCTCTTCTCTCAGTTTGAGCTCTAGCTGACTTAGGGGGCAGAATTGTGAGCACCAAATCGGCACCGAACTTGAAAGCATGTTCTCTGTGAAGTTGGATTTTAGGATGGCCCAGCAATCAGAGCAAGAAGTAATATTTTTACTGAAATGTAGGTGACTCTGAGGGAACGACACCTGCTATTTTTGAAAGCTCTTTCTGATAAGTCTCTGGAAGGTATATTTTAAGAGTCCAGAAGAATGGTAGTAATTTAACTCATTGGAAGTTTTACTGAGTGCTTACTGTTTATTTGGAGGGTTAAATGAAATTTCGGGATGAGTTTTCCACATGCGGTTGAACTTCTTCAGAAAACTCACAAGGATCCTAGAACAGCTTTTGCAGTGATAAATGACTTGATGTCGTCGACTTGATGAAGACAAGGTTGACAGTGAAGTCTTCATGTGAGAACTCTAGAAATTGCACACTAAGAAAAAGAAACTGGTGCAAATAAAGGAAATCCGTTTCAAGAACCAAAAGAAGAAGAAAACGTTAAAAAATTAACTGCGGAAACAGGAAACACTCTACTGCGTAAACATTTTCGGAGACTTTCATAATCAAAACTGGGCGATCTTGAGATTTGCAAGCAGATCCACAGGCTCAAGGTATTCGCGGGGTTATTTCCCAAATCTGACTTACTAGGAGATTCTAACATGTGATACTTTCTCTTTCTTGTAAAGACCTTGAATTCTGTGGTCCCAATTTAATACAAGGTTTTATTTGGGATGAGTCAGGATTTTTTTAGAGCGATCTTAGAAATAACCACGTGTTGTGCTATTCATTTTATACTTGAAGAAACATCCTCAAGTGAAATGACGCTATCTAACCCAAAAGCCTTATGCAGGAGCTGCCTTCTGTGCTCTTTGCATATCAGATGTCTTTAGAATATATACTGTTGTTAAATAGGATCTTCTTAAATGTAATTTCCTCAAGACCTTAGCTTTGGATAGAATGCAAGGAAGACTGCGTGAGGGAAACAACCACCGTATTGCAGAATATGATGTAGCCTCCATTTCATAGAGGCACTAGACTAAATCAGAATTCCCAACTATCATTCCACAGGCAATGAGGGAAAATAAAAAAGATGTATTTACCAAACCTTTAAAATATAAAAGAAATGGAAAAAAAATAACCAAAACCCAGTTCCATCACCCCAAGATTCTAAGACTGGGTCCCAAATGGATTTTTTGTAAAATTAAGATCCCATCCCCTCAAAAGATGACCATAAGCTATTTTTTTTTTTTTTAAAAACCGAACATCTTCATTTCTTCTTGGCCGGTGTAAAGTAGCATTTCACATGGGTTCCTATTGAGATTTCACAATAAAACTTGACCTTGATAGGCCTATACCATGTGTCTACTGAAACTCCAAATATTGGGGAAAAAATACGAGGAAGTGATGTAGGAAAGCCCCTGCGAGTTTACTCTGCAAGTTGCATTGTACCTCCAGAAATCCTAACATCTGCATGGATGAAAATGGAAACGAAGCAATATGGTTGGTAGGTTAAGTCAACTGGAGGGCAGCTTCTTTTTTTCCCACTCAGTGCAATTAGCGGCCGGCAATTTTAAAAGCAAAAAGTACTTGTAAAGAGGTATGCATGTGTAAAGCAAGATAGATCGCTATTTACACAACAGTAACCAGCCCCTTTTTTGCATTTAAGCTAAAATCTGTGAAATCAATTTAGGCATTTTCTGTGGAATATTTTGTTGGCACTAACTTTGTGATATAGAATCCTAGAATACTTTTCAGAAGCAAAAGCCAAACTTAAAGCCTACTTTTCATGTACCTTGCTTTTACTGCTAAGAGTTACAGAAGTTAACAGCTTTGATATGGGTTATTACAAGATTGAAACTTTTTAAAGTGGTAGCTTAGCAAAAGTTTTAGATCTTAATTGTCAAAACTGTGAAAGCTGGTTATGGGAGAATGTAAAACATTATAATCTTTCTTCTGTTTTATTAAAAGACAAAGACATTTTAGATGAAATATCCTTTAACACTTAAGAAATGTTCAAATGGAGTAGGGAAAAAAAGTCCTTTCGAACAAAGTAAATTTATGTTTTCAAGTATGGTAAAACAGTGTTAAGTGAGTCATAAACGTAAGATCTGACTTTTAATAAGCAATTTCAAAAATAAGTCCATTATTAAAAGGTTGAGATATTAAGTCTTTTAGTTCCATGTTGATCTCACAACTTGGTTTTGTGTAAGTCAAGTGACAGGTCCACTAGCATTTGAAGTTTTTAGTCTTTGAAAAATATTTTTTCATTCTTTATATACATGATCATCCAAAGTAAAACTATCATTTGAAACTTCCATTAACTAACTTTTCTTTCTTAGATAACATCATGAAAAACTCTAGAAGCCTACAAAAATGAGTTAAATTCACCAAAATTGGCAAACATGGGTAACTTTTACTTCAAAGATTGTAAATAAACAGATACATCTTTCAATTGGGCTATCAAGCAATTATACACAAAGCATGGACTTCTTAGCAACATCACTATTTAAGACAGCAATGGATTCTCTTTAGTTTTACCTGTTGAAATCCACAGTAGGGTTTCCAAAACTTCTGCACATTGTGCTTTTCGTATCAAATTTTTATTAAAGTCTTAGCTATTTTCTAAATGAATATCCTTTTTATTGGATTTTCCCAATTACAAATGAAATTTAATTTTACATCTATAATTAGAAACACTTACAATGGTACTGTACAAATTTAGGTCAAAATAAAAATATATGTATTTTGTGGTTTCATAAAACTTCATTTACTGTATCTTTAAAGAAAGCAGAAATAACAGCAATATATGTAAAAGTAATGATTTAATGACTATAAGCAAGACAAAGCAATAGAATTGTGCTTCTTTTGCAGACTGGGGACAATGAAATGTTTAGCTACAATTTTCCCATACAAACATGAAACGATATTCATATAGAATAAACACCCTCACAAATAACTGATGGGTGATGAACATACACCAAGTTCGACCAAAGCAAAACACAAACTGAAAACGGCTGTGGTTATTCATATTTTAAATTGAACATGTTCACTCTATTTAAAAATTAATATCTGGAGAAGCTAAGAATAAATTGCTTCTATTTCAAGATATTAGAGAGAGGGCATATGTCATTGTTTATAACTGTTAAAGCAACTCCTTAAATTTGAAGTAACTGCTAAACCACATGTTAAAATAATTTTAGATAAAATGCCTTCTTCCAGAAATTTGCTGGTTTACTTAAAAATCTGTTTTAGAATTACAGTGATCAATATGCATTTTAAAAACACATTCATTCCATCAAAGGCAATAGGAAATGAAGACACTGTTTCCAAAGTCTTTAGTTAAAAATTTTTCTTTACTGCAACAATTTTAAAAGTAAACATGTATTACTAGAGAAAATCAGTATTATGATTTGCCAGTTGCTTCCAATGGAATAGAATTTAGAATTAGAAATCCACATTAAAAATGTTCTATGCTGATAAGGCTTAAACATAGGGCATCTGCAAAGGTCGAACCAGTTGGGAGAATTTAACAACCATTTCTGAATGCATGAAACACAATATTTTCTTTATAGTATTTATAAATATATCATACAATACTGTTTCCTGTTATGTCATATACCAATATGGCATTGTACAACAAGCATAATGCCATCTGATTCTTACAAAAGCGAATCATTTAAACAAGTCAGTAAAATAAACGGTAGTACCCGCTTTTAGGCATACAGATTGTAAAACTGAAGTTTACTTTCCTTTGATCGGTTTTGTGTAACAACAGAGAAGTAAAAATCAAACAGGAATCAAAATGGCTAAATATGCAAGAAGTCGTTATTCACAGTGACATGGCTACATAGAATGCATTATTCTATGCATATTCTTTCCGTTTGTTGAATTTCAAGATAAAAAGCACTTGTTTTCTACAGGTTCACAAAACAGCATAATAACAAGAACAATCAAGGAGAATGTAATGTAGGCGTTAGTTGAGATTAACAAACTATGGCCCAATGTTTATATCCACTGCAGAATTTTTCAAATCTGAACAATGGTTACAAAAACCATTTCACATCTTGCCTAACACACAGAAAAACATCTTGCCTGCCTTCTCAGAAACCAATTCTCTTTAGAGGAACAATCTTTTCCATTAACGTCCATATGAATATCACATCTAGTCCATCTTTTATAGCCAAATTTAATGTCACTACAAAAGAAAGCAAACTGGACGACAGTCACATGTATTAGCATCTCTAAAGCTGTAATGGCATGAAGATATCTATATAAATCGGGGATTTAAAATTTTTTTTCCTTAAGAGTCTTGGGTATCAACCAGATGAAGTTGCTGACGACCCATTTACTGACGATTTTCGAGGTCTATTGGCAAAGGAAGATTGGTGGTTACCGCTGGGGCTGCTGCTGGTTCCATTCATAGTGCTGGAGATGTGAGGAAACTGAGGATGAGGAGACTGAACGGGAGTGCTGGGGCTAGGCAGACAGGACGAGGTGGAGGGGGCACCTCCTGCGGGGCTGTTGGCCTTGTCACTCCCAGAGTCACTTTCCAGTTCTCCAGCATTTGTCAGTCCATCTCTCTGGTGACTCATCTTCATTCTTTTACAAGTAGGTCGAACTCTGTATTTCAAAGGAAGCGGACCATTCTACAACGTGAAAAGGGGAAAAAAAAGATCAGTCCTCTTTAAATACAGTTTTACCACAATAATCTCAAGAGTATTAGTTATGCTACCTACCCTTCTCCAGGTATAAATGTAGGCAATATCCATTAGTGTATAGTAATCCTTTAAAGGTTCTTCTTCATACATGACATCAATCTATTGGAAAATAATATTTCAATTATTAAGTACCATGAAAAACAAAGATAAATAGAGACTTTTTCTGTCATCTAAATGCAATCCAAAAATGCTTTAACAAACATTCTCTTCAAACAGCTGGACAAAGAAAGAATCCCTCTTGACATTCAAATGAGGAAAAATATTTCCTGAAATTACTAAGGAATTTGTTTTTATAGCATAAAACAAAATTCATACCAAACATTGTAAGAGACAATTCCAGTTAAGTTCTAAATCTAAAATAAAAAAATCTGTTGCTTTTTTGGGGTTCAGAATCCAAAAAGGAAAAAGTCATTGAATTAAAAAAAAATCTACATTAAATGCACAAAAACTATAAAGTAGATACCTGGAAAGTGTTAGGTATGTCCATTTTACTTCTGAGAAACTTTCTTAGGTGCATCACAGTCATTGCTGCCGGGCAACGTAAATATCTTTTATCATTCACCTAAGAATACATTTAGAAAAGTTATTTTTAAACATTTCTAACTTTCGGGTAAGAAAAAAATCTCAGTTTAAGTTGCCTCAATATGATACAAAGTATGAATACCAAAACTGAGATTGACTAAATTCTCAACTTGGAGTTTACTACTTAAATACAAAATAAGGAGATTTCTAATATAATAAGAAAACTTTAAATACATCAAAACATTATTTATTTTATAAGCATAACAATCATATATAGAGCAAATGCTATCTAATTATTCAGATATATATCATTCTTAAACATCAAATACAATCATTTTTCTCTTGTTTGACAGCATCATCTAGCCTAAGAATATCCTAAAGGGCAACATACACCTTCATAAAATCTAGAATCCAAACAATGTTTCCTCTGTATGTTTTTGCAACATGGGACATACCTCTTCCTTAGCTTTCTCCTTGTCTTTGTTTACTTTCCGATCCAATCTAAGAAACACAATTTTATTAGTGGAACAATGCATTTATGAACAGATTAGCATAAAACACATTTCCAACAGAATTTACCTGTTCTGGTCAAAGAATTCAATGGATAAGCTTATTATCTCATCATCAGTTATAATTCTCTTATCTTCATCTGCAACTTCTCCTCTATCTTCATTAGAGCCATTAGCAGCTATAAAGACATTTTGAAATTCCATTTTAAAATTAAACATTTAATTAAAATATTACATATGTAGGAAGATGGAAATGGTACTTTTAAATTAAATTCAATTTTTATATATTATTGAGTAATAAATTCTCCCGCCAAATAAAATGTCTTTTCCCTCTCTAAAGAGTTTACCATCTGCTGAAGGATGGGCTGCATAAAAATCCCTTCTTCTCTTCATTTCATCTAAAGAGGGGGGGAAAAAAGACTTAAACATTTGTCACAGCAGGTAAATCTGATGAATACTTTGTAAAAATTCATTTGTAAGCATGCTACTCACTTTTGAAAAGCCCTGGAACTAATTTGTATACAATATCTTGGAGAGTTTTATCTGACCTGAAAAAGAATTAGAAAACTAACTTATTAATTTTAATTTCAAAAATTTTAAATGCTCATAATTATAGATTCTTTTTCTTTGTAGTATAGTATTTTATGTGATTGTGAGAGTCTTCATCAGTAAGATAACAATTATGAGAATAAAAATTCTTCATATAGTAGTAACCTTTTAAATCAGTGGAAAAATACTTTTACATTCATTAAGAAATTCTTCACATTTCACTGACTCAAGAGAAGCATGCCTTTCAAATTACTAAATTAGCTAATATGAAAGAGAATAGAGAGAAGAAAATGGAAACACTTTAAACACACTCATCCCTGCTTGTCATAAGCTCAATAAAGCAATGCAGAAATGGAGAACTAATTCAGTTTTAAAAAAATGTTTTAAAAAAACACTTAAAATCCACCTCGATAATACCGAACTTTGCTTAAAATTAGTCATCATTAAAATGGCAAGAAATGAAGAGCAACCTTCACAAAACACGCACATTAGGTGGAGATTCAATGGTAAATTTTGTGTGACAAAATAAAACAGGGTAACCTTCACTAAATTATGCAATTCCAATAACAATTAGAGACAATAATTTTAAAACTTTTCTTACCTTATATTCAGTAGTGGTCTGGTTTTGTGAACTTGGACATCACAGATAGGACAATATTTGCTGGTCTCCAAGTAACGCACAATACATGTTTTACAGACTAGAAGTAGAAAAACAAAAATTTTGTAAGTTTAGAAATTTGATGTTAAGTATTGAAATTAGTATCAAAAATGGAGAACTAGGGATAGCAAAATGCTAAATGTCAAAAGGTATTTCCAATGACCTAAACTAACTCAATTAACATCCTGAGAATATTTATACATTGCACAGTTACACGTTTAAAATATGCATTAACAGAAATTCACCAAACCCAAGAGTAGAAAATAACTCCATCACTTTTGTAACAACATTCTCAAGGATTGTGGGAATTAACAGTTTTCAAACATCAAAAAGAAATAAGAAATATATATGACACACAAAAAAAGGTCTAGAACTTTGCACTTACAGGAATGTAGACATTCTATTATGGTCGTGGCATCAATGAAGTACCCTCCACAGAGCACACACATGAGGTGGGGATTTAGCTCCGTGATCTTGATTCTGGTTGTTCGATGCATTTCTGCTTGATAAAATGCCCTGTAAGACACAGAAATATTGGCCATAATCCACAGAAAGAGAAATGAGATTATCTCCCAATTTCTAGTAACCGAAGGCTCTGAAATGCTGAGAAGTTCATAAAACTCGTATAACACTGTACAGCTGGACTGTCCCAACGTTTTCTACAGAAGGAATTAACTAATGAGACCTCAATCAATTATAGTGAAATGACGAAAAAGGATTCAAGTAAAGTAACTTGTGGTTCCTCAGTTCATTCCAGGACGGAGAAGAAAAGGTCTGGGGTGGGGGCTGGGAGCTGAGAGTATTCGGGTCTCTTTCTTCCATTTGTCCTCTAGCCTAGCAGCCCCAAGGCTGCTGCAGACGCCACACAATCCCCGCAGATATTTACCAACCGCCAGGGCTTGTCCCAGGTCTCCAAATTTATTGTAAAACTTCCTTATGGATCTTCAATCGAAAATCCGGGAGATTGCCCTGGCTTCCCAGGGGTTCTTGTTGTTTTAGGCGGTTCCAAAAACCAGAACCTGGCACGTTTTCCGCGATACAAAGGGAAAACAAATTCTGCCCTATCTGCATCCCTGGCATTTCCGGAGCTGGGTGCTGGGGCCGCAGAAGCACCTCCAGCCGGCCTCGGGCTGGGGCCTGAGCGCGCGGACGCCCGGGGGCCGGGATGCGAGGGGCGGATCCGGCGGCGCCCCGGGCTCCGTCTCGCTCCGGATTCGGAACTCGGCCCTGTCGGGGTTTCCATAGCAACTTACACTTACACTTGGCATCCGGCCACCGCTGCAACTCCGCGCGAAGCCGGGCCGAGCCCGGAGCTTCGGCGGGCGTGCGGGTCGGCGGGGCGGAGGCGGCGGCGGGCGCGGGGGAGGGGCCGGCGCGGCGCGGGGGCGGGGCCGGCGCGGGGGTGGGGTGGGGTGCGGGCTACGCGGCTCGGGGGTGGGGCAGCCCCACGAGGCCCGCGGCGCTGGGGAGCAGGATCCCGGCCGCGGCAACCGGGCGGGCAGACTGGGGGGCCCCCTGAGCGTGGGAGTGGTAAAGGAAAATGCAAACCGCACTCCCGGCCATTTCGGACACTCTTGGGGACCTCTTTCCAAGTCGACTCGGTGCGAAGAGCTTCTTTCAGATCTTGACTCGGTCTCTCCTGTTAGCAATCACTAGGTCAAAAATTTCACGAAGGGACCTTTTGAGAATTGCCAACTGTGCACTTAGCCCGAAACCGTCAGAGCTCAGATTGCAGAGATGTTTATTGAACTGGACCTCTTTAAACTTTTCTTCTCTAATATGAAGTTCTCCTTCAGATTAGATGAGCGATACAAAGTTTTGTTAAGGCTAAAAAGTGAAATCTGTTTTACAAAAAGACGAGGGGGCAAAGCCGTGTTTTATGTGAACTATGCTGGAGTCAAGACAAACTAATCGGTACGGGAGTGACAATAAGTAAAGAACCATGTGATCAGTCCATTCCCAACACTAAATCAACACCTTGTCAACCCAGAGCAACGATAGGAGAGAAAAACAACTGTCATTTTCTCAACCTAACCTCCATACAAATCCCCACACGATGGAATAATATCCCCAATAGATAGCATATATTATAGGAAAGTCACGGTGGGAGACTGTCAGCAACAATACACCAGCGGACAATCAGGGAAGTCAATTATTTCGTGTAGTACTCTGGAAAAATATATTTCTCACCCCCCACTTCATTCATTTCAGAACCTAAAATAGGACCAAGCTTCTAGACCTGTTTGAAGTACATTCTTAGAACCGCTTTCAACAGAAATCTAGGAACCTGAGAAACTTGGGAGATGCAACTGAGGTTTTAATTCTTAGGGAATTTTAATGCAGAAGGAAATACCAATCAACATACCTCAATGGCTGAAACTAATGGCTTTAGAGTACTAAAAAAACGGTAAAAACAAAACAAAGTCTCTTTTATGAGAGTGACCATAGTGGCGACTGGCAACTTCAACCAGAAAACTTCACTTGTGATTCCTCAGTTATCTTTTGATTACTTTTTTTTTAAACAAAACTATTGTTCACATATTGTTAAAATAAATCTAAGTGGGGCTGCAGAGAAGTTGTGGATGGGGCACTGTCCCTAAACAGTAGCAATATTTACATCCATTGTGGTTGACTAAAGACAAACCTTAATTCTTAAAACTCTCCTTGTGAAACCACAGGTCCTTTCCTAGAAAGAGAGCAAGGTGATACTTATATCTCCTTGTGAAAGCATCTCATACTAATGCTACCGAACATGAAGTTTAGGAAGGGACTTCAATAAAAATAGTTGCCTGTATTTCTCCACTGTACAGAAAACACCGAACACAAGTACTAATACAAAGGTCAAACCTCAGTGGAGGGTAATCTACTGGTTGGCTTTTAACATTTAAGGCACAGGTACCTGACTAAAACCTTTCAAATTCATCTTAACCAACTGAGCCATCCAGGCGTCCCTCAAATTCATCTTGTTTTAATTCACACAACTCTTCTACCTCAGTTCTGAGGAATTTGGCCACAGTCCTATTACCATCTATAATGCTAGTAAATACCACTTTGTTACTTACATAAAAATCAGTTCGTTATCTTTTTATACCACTTGAAAGTCCTGGCAATCTAAGGATGACTTCCAAGACGTTTGACATGCTTGGTAGATTTAAGAAACAATCCACTGCACCTTAGAAATGAAAGCCTTCCACGTTCCAACACAGAAAACTGCCAGGCAGGCAAGTAAAAATGCACCAAACATACCACAGTAAAAATACTCAGTAGTTAAAATTTGCCACTGTAACATACTCAGTTGGGACAGTCAGTTTAGTTGAGAGGCCTAACACCAGTAGTGTCAAAATGAAGCAAAACAGAAGCAAGTTCTTATGTTAACAATCAGCTTGACTATTGCAATCTAAGAAATGCAAATGAACTCCATAACCCCGGTTGGGGTTCACAGCCCAGCAGAAGTATGGGTAAAGTTTGGACTAACTTGACTCCAAGAGAATTTTGCTTAGTTGGGTACTTAAAGCAGAGCTCACAACTTGGTGGTAGAGTATTAATTAATTTACCAAGTACAATTAAATACTCATTTTTTTTTTAACAAAAGCATATGTGTGTATACATATGCCTACGTAGTGACTTTTATATGGCTTTAAAGATACTGTTACTAAGCATATAATTTGCACAGGTAGGTTATTTCAAACACCTTTGCACTCTGGGGCAAAAGTACAGGAATGAACTCAAATATTAAAAAGTTTGTAAATTTGCTCATAAAATCAATCTCTAAGAGATTCTGATCAGTCTACTTAAAATAATATTCAAATATTAACATAGTCACATAAGTTAGTATATACTGTCAACAGTTCGCATCCTTAACTTTCAAGTCTTTATTAAAGCTTGTAATGTGTTTTCAGAACTTGAGGGTTGCGCTTCCTATAAAACATACTTTGAACTACTCACAACATTCTAGGTACCACCAACCTACACTTGGATTTGGATAAACATGCCCAGAATTTTGCCTACTTTAAGAGAAGGGGTTAAATACATGCTTCTCTTTCAAATGTTGGACCGTGACCACTAAGCCCACTAAATCCTTTTATTGCAATTGAGAATGATCAAAGTCTCTCTACTTGTTTACTTCCAATCATTAACTGTAAATTTCTGGGAAAAAGATCATGCTATATCGCTGTCAAACCCAAAAGACTGTGTAAACATATGTAGTCAACTTTTTGGTCCTCCTTTTCCAAAGCATCTCTTTACCAACACGACCTTTAGCAAAACTATAAAACGTAGTGGACTTAAGTCAAGGTTCTAAGTGCATCCCATAGTAGAGGTTGAGAGAAAAACTGCAGTCATCAAGGAGAAAAAAAAAAAAAAAAAA